ACAATGATGAATAACTGTTTGCATTTCCTAGCAACCTGCAGCCGGGTGATCAAACTACAGCCGAGAAATTCCCTCCCGTACGTGCTGCGCAATTTAGCTTGCTTCCAGGTAGCGAGCTATCCCATATCAACGACAACAATAACAACTCCCCTTCGGCGACACTTGCACAACCGGCGAGAAGTTGACATGGACCAAAAACTGTCAAAGGACGAGACTGCCCGCTACAGTCGACAGATGCTCTGTCCTGAAATCGGCAAGCGTGGTCAGTTGAAGCTGAAGAGCAGTTCGGTGCTGATCGTCGGTGCCGGCGGTCTCGGCTGTCCGTCTTCCCTCTACCTGACAGCCGCTGGCATCGGTCGCCTGGGCATCATCGACAGCGATGTGGTGGAGACGAGCAACCTCCACCGACAGGTGCTTCACTCGGAGGGCACCCGAGGGGCGGCCAAGGTGGACTCTGCCGTGGAGCGACTGCAACAGCTCAACTCTAATGTTGCCTTTGAGAAGCACCCGGTGCGACTGACGCGTGCCAATGCACTGGACATCATCAGGAACTACGACATTGTCGTCGATGGCACTGACAATCCGATGGCCCGGTACTTGCTCAGTGACGCCTGCGTCCTCCTGAAGAAGCCACTGGTCAGTGGCTCGGCGCTGCGCTTCGAAGGGCAGATCACGGTGTACAACTACGACCAGGATACGCCCTGCTACCGCTGTGTTTTTCCCGAGCCGCCACCAGCCGGAACGGTAACCAACTGTGCCGACGGTGGCGTACTGGGCGTAGTGCCCGGCATCATCGGCAATCTGCAGGCTATTGAGGCGATCAAGATTGCCGCCGGCATAGCGCCAGCCTACGCCGGTGTTCTACTGCTCTACGACGGTCTCAGTGGAAAGTTCCGCCATGTTCAGCTGCGAAAGCGCAAGGATGACTGCATTAGCTGTGGAAAGACTCCCTCCATCACCACTGACCTGATTGACTACGAGGCATTCTGCGGCGTCACCTGTGCCCCTCCGGTGAAGATTCTCGCTCCTGAAGAGCGCGTCACCGTGCAGGAGTACAGCAGTGTGCTGCAGTCCAAGCAGAAGCACATTCTCATTGACGTCCGACCGCAGCTGCAGCAGGACATTATCAAACTGGACAATGCTGTTTCCATTCCACTGGCGCGTATCGTCAAGGAGGATGGAGTGCAGATGGTCCAGGATCTAATTGACAAGACCTTCACTGAGCCCTCTGAGCCAAAGAAAGTCTTTGTGATGTGTCGTCGAGGTAATGCCTCGCAGAAGGCCACACGGGAGCTGAAGAACCGTCTCGAGGAGGAGAATGTTGAAATTAAGGACATCATTGGTGGCATCGAACAGTGGTCTACTGATGTTGATCCCGAGCTGCCTATGTACTAACTCGTAGAGCAGCCATTTGTCAAAAGTGATGTTTGTTTTTGCTAAAGATTGGATAAAGGTATATTTTTATATTTCAAAGATATCATGCCGAGAATTGGCCATCGTAGTACAACTAGCAGAGGAAATCTTCCATTTGAAAGTGCACCACCCTTGGAAAGGTGGCGCTAGGGGTACCTCTGGTGCGAAGCACAGTTTGTGTGCCGCGTACTACGTTTGCTGCAGTGTGTATCGCATCACAACAAACGCCGAATCATCTGTGATTGGCCAAACGGTGGCGAAGATGGTACTACAACTTCCCTTACCTTTCACTGCCCATCCATCCTACCTGTGTCCACCTCTGTAGAACCTCCTAGACCTTAGGTTCTAGCTGTTTTGCATCTCCGAAAGAATCTTCTAACTCATCTTTATTTCACCGCCACTACCGTTCCACTGTCGTTTCTCCATATCGTCTAGACCGCTTCAAATTACGATGAAGAAGGCGTGTTGATTGCTTTGTAAAGACAAAGCAAGTAAATCTCATGAAAGGCCATCTTGGTCGACTAGCAAGCTGAATGTTTGCAATAGAGGTACATCCGCACTATCAGCCTAAGTACACTGATCAGCCAGTGTCGAGCTTAATCTGGTTAGTCTCGGCAGGGCTGATAGCAGCCGTAGTGATTGTCGTCAAGCAGTGGACATCAACACCAGACAACGAACATCAACAGTTTGAGCTGGCTGAACAAACTGGTCAGCAGCAGGCTCCCGGTCCACGTAACATCTTGCATAAGTGGCGTGCGAAAATACTTGTCAAAATGTTATCCCGGACAACGCTGTTCTTCCTTGCACTGCTCATTCCCACGGCTATATTTGTTGCGATCTTTGTCAGCAAGTTAAACACCGACAATGACGCCAACAACAGCTTCATTGTCGATCCGGCGATTATTGAAAATGACCACGCTGAGACGCTGAACGACAAGACTGAAAATCTCTTTTGGTTCATTCAGGTGTCTGACACGCACTTCAACTCCTTCAATGACCGCAATCGAAAAGTAGATCTGCAGGACTTTTGCAAAAACATGATTCCTCTGGTGGGTCCATCTGCGCTGGTTCTCAGTGGAGACATCACCGACTCACGCTCTCCCGACCCGATGGGCTCTGACCAGTTCTACCAAGAGTGGCTCTACTACAATGAAACTAGGCACAAGTGCATGGAGTACAATCCAAGCGTCACTTGGCTTGATATTCGAGGAAATCATGGTATTTATTTCGTAGAATGATGTGACTGGACATTTACTTCATCTGAACCTTTACTTTTCAGATAACTTTAACGTATACAACTCCTTCAATAGCTTCTACAAAAACTTCACCGTTCAAGGGAACTTAACGGAAGAAGGCAGGTCTTATCGTTACGAAGTAAAGGCAGATGATGGCAAAAGCTACTCCTTCATTGCTGTGGATGCTTGCTTGAAGCCCGGCATTCGGCGTCCATTCAATTTTGTTGGCCGACTTGACGATGAAGAGCTGGAAAGAGTGAGGCGACTGAAGAAAGAAAGCGAAAACACTACATACACAGTTTACTTTGGTCACTACCCTACTTCCGCCATCCAAAATCCTCATGAAATTCGCTCGATTATTAGGTAAGCCAATGTGATTGCCAAATGATTGCATCAGATCAACTAAACTGTACTTTGCCTCTACAGCGGACCCTACTTGTGTGGACACTACCACAACTTCCACGGAATCTCTCCCCACATGTACTCTACCCAGCCAGAGGGCTTCCTAGAGGCCGAACTAGGCGACTGGAAAGCAAATCGAATGTTTCGCATTGGGGTCGTCGATGGTGGCCTCTTCACCTTCTCCGACTTTAACTACAATCGCCTCAACTACGATTATCCACTGATTGTGATATCGAACCCTCGTTCAATTCTCTACCAAATGGAAATGTCCGAACCCTTCTGGCGAAGCAGTCGCTCTTCACACATTCGCGCCCTGGTCTTCTCCAAGCGGCCACTTGTCCACGTGAACGCCTGCATCACCAACCAAAAGCCCAAAGCCAATGGACACTGTCTGGAGTCATTTGAGCTGAAGCACGTCAAAGGACCGCTCTGGGTGGCCCCTTGGACGGCGACCAAGTACCAAAAGGGTCTCTTCTACATAACCGTCTCTGCATCGGTAATAACAGCACCACTGCTATTCAACTGACTCTAAAAATTTTTAATCACTTTGCAGAACGATCACGAAGAGAGCGAGATGAGCAGTCCCTTCTCATTCGATCAGACAAAACCGCCGTACACTCTTGCCGGAAGAATTTCCCTCCGAATTTCGTTCTCAACCATTGTCAGTTGAAAACATATTCCAATAGTGTTGCTTACTTACCATTTCGTCTATTCTTTTCAGGGTTTTTATCTACTGTGCTGGGGTGTGATCATTGCGGTCATTCCACTGTCAGTAATACGGATGTTCACCTACAGTGACAATGCATACTTTCGTCACATGTTCAATCTTTCGCGTCGAAGTTACTTTCGAAAGCTCATCTTCAAGGCGTACATTCTCTCTCACACTGACAAGCTGTTTTTTCCACTCGTATTCGTGCCCATTTATCTGTGCATTGGTAGGTGACTGTAGTTTAAAAAAATTAGTGTTTGACTCTCCATTGTTTTTCAGGTCCATGGTTCATTGGCCGTTTCGTGGAGGACAAGATCGGTGTCTCCTTTATGTGGGGCACCTACATTGAGGGTTACCTCTTGCCGGTCTCATTTACATTCATCTTTTCTTCTATTTTTGTAAGTATACCCAAACGATGAAGATGTTCGTGTATTCACTTCTTCCCCTGTTCAGTTATTCATCTTTCATATTCCCTTAACGGCGCTGATGGCTGGCTTGGTGAGCTCTCGCTGTATGAAAATTCTTTCCGAGGTTCAACTGTCCGCTAGTGATGATAATGCAGAGACTGCGCAATCAAAAGTAAACTGTTGCAATTTAGAGGTCTTTCAGATTCTCCTCATTGTGGTCATCATCATCTTGCAAGTATGTTCATTTGGCTGTCTGTTTTCAATCAAAAAGCGTAACTACTTTTCCTCTACCTGTTCCAGGGTCTCGCTTCGACGATGTACTACTTTGCTTACGGCTACCTGGCCATGCTGACCAATGTCTTTGCTTGGCTGGCCTTGGTCTATGTGATCTTTCTCAGCACAGCCTTACGATTGAAGAAGGAAGACTTTAAGAAGTGGCTGTGATACCCGTCCATGTGCAATTCTTGGTCACAAACTATAAAACTGTTCCACAAGATGTTTTTGTATGTATTTTTCTAGGGTTAAACTACTACCAATTATTAACTTATTACAATGATAATTCAAGTATTTATTAGCTTTTGTACACTTATTTTTAAAAGTAAAAAATTAGTCCTTTCTTTCTACGTGCTCTTTGATTGCCTGCATTGTCAACTGGTAGACACGATCGGCGGCGGCGGTGTCGCTGGCGATGCCCCTTTTAAAGTTCTCCAAATCGGGCTTACAGTGCTGGTAAAACACATCGGAGCGAACATGGTCGGCCATGGCACAGCCAATTACCGTTTGAGCGCCTTGCTTCGATGACTTCATTATCATTGCGAAGAGGGGCGCAAAGAGGAAGAGAAGCATTAGTCGCTGCCTACTCACGTAACGATGCAATCGGGTGTAGGTAAATCCGGGGCAAAGAAGGCAAACCTCCACGTTCTTCAGAAGACTGTGATTCTCCGACAATTTACGCGTAAAAAGAAGATTGACCAATTTGGTGGAGGAGTACACTTCTTTATCTGGTCGATTTTCATTACAAAGCTGAGTTATCTTGGCCGAGTCGCTGTATTTAAAAGAATCAAATTAATTAAAGTCTTTAGTTAATTGAAAATGACTTACACTTTCTTTAGCAATTCCTCATCAATTTTGCCGTACTTGTAAAGCGACGATGACACCATGATAACTTTATTGGAAACACTCTGGCTGCTGTTGCTTTCTTGCAACTTGGGCAGCAAAAGAAATGTCAACAGAGCCGGTGACAGGTGGTTTACTTGTACGTTCAGTTCAAACCCATCTGATGTAGCTTCGATGGGAGCAGCAAAGACTGCTGCATTGTTAATCAGCATGTGCACCTGTTTCTCTTCCCGAGTGATCTGATTGACAAACTCCTTGACGGATGCAAATGACGTCAAGTCAAGACGACGGAAAAGAAGCTCCCCATTGGACTGCGGATAGAGACTTTTAAAATTATCGATAACCTTCTGCGTTTCATCTTCATTACGACAGGCCATAATGACTCGAGCTCCATGTCTGTAAAGCTCGCGAGTGGTCTCTTTACCGATGCCCGAGTTAGCACCTGTTAAAATTATCGTCTTTCCTTTCAGGTGACCCTCAGTTTGACTGTTCTTTGCTTCAATCATATCCCGATAACTGCCCCATACGAACTTGGCCTTGTAAAAGCGAATTCCTGAAGTAAGTACACAAGTTAGTGGTCATGAAAATAAACACTGATTGAAGAGTTGGCTAACGAACCGATTATTGCCGCGGACAGTGACACCACTCCGCCAAGAAGGATTGTCGACATGTTGTGGTGGTCAATTAGTGATAGTAGACAGTGTCAATGGTCAGAAAAGTAAATAACAACGGATGAACACTTCCTCGATTTACTTTGACGACATGGAAATTCCAAGTCCAAGTGGTTTCTGGTGTTGTTCTGTTGAGAAGAGGCGCTGGCGATCACGTTGTACGTGAGTGGTTTTGTTTTGAAGACGATGTTTTTTTTCGTTCACGCGTGAACTTCACGCGTGGTTTTGTTTTGGTTTGATTAAAACTCCAAAAGTATTCACCAACAATCAATGTCAATGGCCTCGTTACTGCGATCTGCTCTCGCTCAGCCAAGGTCAATTTGGGGTCGACTAACTTATGGGCTTGGTCGATTATCTACCCAAACCGGCGCTGACGTGGGCTACGAGAGGAAGATGTACGAAGAGCGCAAAAACGAGTCACTTGAGCAGAAACGCGCTCGGCTACTTTACCAAAGTCGGAAACGAGGTAAATGCCCACTCTTATTGTTATCTTGTTATCTATCAACTGCGTAGTGATTTACATTAGATTCCTCTTTTCCCTTCTGAACCAGGCACTCTGGAGAATGATCTGCTGTTGGCAAGTTTTGCGCACAAGCACCTGCCGACGATGAACGCGGAAGAGCTAGACAAGTACGACTACCTGATCAACACCATCTCCAATGAATGGGACATTTACTACTGGGCCGTTGGCGTCAAAGAAGTGCCTGAAGAGTATCGCAATTCTATCATGACCAAGTTTATAGAGCATGTGAAAAATGAAAACCGCGAACAACGCTTTCGCCAGCCGGAATTGTGATTATCTGTTGCTGTGGAAGTAGGTGTTTCCCAATCTGGTCATTATGTGTATTTCAAATTGTAGATATATTGTACTAAAGTATGGTTGTTTAGAATGTACTATAATTCCACAATGTAGTCGTACGCTGTGTCGCGCTGTTGCCCTAAGACAAGGCAAGCAAGAGCACTTGTAGGGTGATCAGCCGACAGTCTCCAGACAGTCTCGGCTAGAATAACGAGCCAAAACTGAGGGTGGCAAAGTGGCCAAATGATTTGATTGCTCGTCGAGCATGGTGATAGCCACGTTGACTGCGTATTATTATTGGCTAACACACAAATTAGCTCAAGTTAGCTTGCTCAACAGCGACGGACTTTAGCCGCCGAGAGATAGTTTCAACCGCCGGTCCGATAACACCGCCTGCCAGTTGATAGGCACTGGCTGGGTGCAGTTTGACTCTCGCTACGAGTGAGGAGGCTTTCCACTGAGGCGTCCACAGAAAGATGATCACCGGATTGGCAGCGAAAGTGGCAGCGAGAGACAATGTCCGCGTCCACTGATAAGAGTGTGCAGGCAACAATCACCTGCACCGGGCAATTGTTCTCCTTTTTTGTTCTCGACTTCCCCCATCACATGTCTTTACGGCGTCTACTTGGTTTTATGACTGCTGAAGGTGTCATTCAGAGGAGAGTCCCATGTTGAGAAATCCCCCTATCAGAGAAGGTGGCCAGCGCAGGGCGCCCCTTTGCGCACTCAATCACCAGGAACACGTGATAATGCTTGCATATATTGTAGATGTGTATGTAGATGTGCTGGCTGCGCCGGCCTTGAATGGCATCGTCAAGGATATTTTGGAAAATGCCCACCAGTGGAATCATCTATCCACTGCCTTATCCACGCTTTTCTTTTATACTTGATTGGCACAGTCATCATCATCATCATCATCGTCGTCGTCTCCACCGTTCTTGGGATTGCTCCAATGTCTGCATGGCTTTAACTTGTGTGCAACAGCAGCATCAGCATCAGCACTTCATCGATAGCAGCATCGCCTGGTCACCAGCACTGTTGCACTGAGCAGTGGCATTACCTTTAGCTGAATGGACTTTCTCGATAGGCTCCTCAGTGTGCTTCAGTTCGCCTGTCCGAGTAGCACTGACAGGGAGAGACAGAGAGTTGTGTCGGCAGCAGCATCAACTGCCTACCACAATGGACTGAGTAATGAGCACTCTTCTGCAGCAGCATCAGCAGCATTGATTACCATCAGATGATGTGACAGTCTGTGTGTAGTGGTTGCCATGCTGATTGCTGCTGTTGGCTGTTGTGCTGATCGACGGACGGTGCATGTTCCTGCCATGTGATTCAAGTTGATCAGTGTGATGGCGCCAGAACGGCTGACTGTCGCTGCTGATGCTGCTGCAGTGGCTGGAGCTTATCACTAGTAAACAAGCAAAGAGCTCTAGTCTCTCGCGCTAAGAAAGTGATTGGCTGTACAGTGGTCGTGGTGGACTGTGGTGGATGGAGGCTTTTTTGAAATAGCTTAGGCGACGGGGGCGAAGAGTTTCACTGCCCTGGCCACTATCGGTGTTGCCAGAAGAGAAAGAGAGAGGGAGAGAGGGGGTGCCTCGATGATGACTGATGGTGGTGGCCGTTGATGAGGCTGCTGAGGTACATCGGTTACCACTGTGAAGACTGAGCCATATAAAAGGCAGATACAGGGAGACAGTGGCAGGCATACACCAACGAGACAAAGACGGAAGACAAACCACACCGAGACATTCCACTGATTGCACAACTGGTTGATTCTCGAAAGATCGCCCTCACTTTCTACTTCTAAACAATCGCACTTCTGAACTAATTTGAAGACGCCGCTGTTTAATGAACCACCACTGAAAACAATGAATTCGATAAAGTTGATCAAATCACTGATAGGTAAGTGGTCAGGTGTGAGCTGATGCAAGTACTCATGTACATAATGACTAATCAATCACTTTCTTTCTATCTCTTCCAATCAGGTCAAGTGGCCACTGCCAGTCGACCGCTCACCTCCCCGGAAGTGCAGCTGCTGAGGAGAAACTACTCTGCGGCGGCGTACACGACCCGCTACGCCGACTACGACCACATTCAGGTGACCGCCCCTCATGACCACGTTCTGCACGTGGAGCTCAACCGACCGGAGAAGCGGAACGCCCTGAACCGAGACATGTTCCGGGAGATCCACGCCTGCTTCCAGGAGATTGCCAATGACAAGCAGTGTCGGGCGGTGGTCATCAGCGGCTCGGGCAGCATGTTCTCCGCCGGCATCGACTACACCGACATGATGGAGATGATGACCAGCGTGGTGAGCAGTGACCAGCCGCAGAGGGATGACATTGCAGCACGGGCCAAGTTCATCCGCCACATGATCGTCCTGCTGCAGAATAGCTTCTCGTCGATCGCCAAGTGCCACAAACCGACCATAGCCGCAGTGCACTCGGGCTGCATCGGCGCCGGCGTCGACCTGATCACAGCTGCCGACATTCGCTACGCCTCCAGTGACGCCTACTTTAGCATTCGAGAGGTGTCCATTGGCATGGCCGCCGACCTGGGCACGCTCCAGAGATTGCCCAAAATTGTGGGCAATGATAGTCTGGTTCGGGAGCTCGCCTTCACTGGACGGGATCTGGGCGCCAAAGAGGCCAAGGAGGTTAGTTTGCTTTGAGCTTTTAAACTGATCTTTATTTCTAAACAATCGCCTTTCTTTTTCCATACAGTTCGGTCTGATCAGCGGCGTCTTTGGCAGCTCTGAGAACACCATCGAGGGAGCAATTGATCTGGCGAGGTCGATTGCCTCCAGGTCACCGGTTGCAGTCCAGGGCACGAAGGTGTCACTCAACTACTCACGCGACCACTCTGAAAAGGACGGCCTCGAGTTTATGCAAATCTGGAATATGGTAGGTGTTTACTGCTGCAAAGTCGCTACCAAATGCAAAAATACTAAACATATTCTTCCCCTTTGTAGTGCATGCTTCAGTCTGAGGACTTGATCAAGGCGACCACCTCTGTGGCGACCAAACAAGAAGCACCCGAGTTTGCTGACCTGTAGACGACCAACATTTGCCCCGATCTCACACTCTTTCACTGTCAATCACCCTTTCACCATTTTCCCTCAGTACTACTATGATATAAATAAAAATATATATTTTTTCATTGCTAAAAGTCGATCACGCACTGTACGGTTTTGATAAACTCATCCAGTAATGAGAAGCTCGGTACATGTGTGTGTTTAGCAGCAATCGTTATCGATTGCCTAATTTGCCAATGGTTTGCGTATTGAGATCGTCAGACGGAGGCTAATTGCTACGTGGTAGGCAATGGCTCGAGTGAGGCGCCACTTTTTGAGCCCAGGCCACTGTACGTACTTTGTGGTCTGTCTCGGCAGCATGCTGAGACAGAAGCAGCTGCTCGCTCTCTGCCTCTCGTGTGTTTCGCTGTGTTTTCCCGCTTTTCATCTTGCACCTCTTCATACCGGCGCCCTTCGCGGAGACACCTACCATGCCCAAGTTCCCGAACTCCCACTTCTACGGCGGAAAGACCACCTTTGGCGGAGCAAACTTGCGCAAAAATATCCGTCGCCTTCAGACCACGCCGTACTCAGCGCTGAGCAATGTGCGCTCTATTGAAGCCAAGCCAGCCACCGTCAATGGGAAGTTGTCTTCGGCGGCCCTAAATGGGGACTCTCACCTGAGCTCACGCACCAAACGGGTGCTGGAATGCCTTGAATTGACGGCACTGCCAGTTAGCAATTGTAAACGTCAACGACGCTTTGAGTCGTATATTCCACCTCCAACGACGACAACCACAACAAAAGAGCTTCTGAATTTTCGAGAAAAAGACAAAATAGAAAACGTCAATATCAGCAGTAAAGTGCCTCCTAAGTTTCCTATTATTATTCACGAGAAGCCTCCAGTGATGTTCGAAGTTAAGTCAAAGTTTGAAGAATTTAAACAAAAAAGACTTGCTGAAAAATTATCCAAATGGACTTGTCCGATTTGTTCAGTCGACAATGATTTGGCGGATGATAACTGTTCTGCATGTGAAGAGCCAAATCCAAAGAAAAAGAAAAGGCAACTTTCACCAGAGCCTCCTTCAAAATCCATATCTCAGCCATCGGCTTTGTTTTCGTTTGGAACGCCACCAGTTGTTTCAGCTTCTTTTTCAAAGAACACCACCCCTCCAGAATTTACCTTTAGTCATCCATTATCAACAAAAACAGCAACTGCGACACCAGAAACTAAAGAACTTCCAAAGTCGCCGGAGAAAACTGAAACTGCAAATGTGATTGTCAACAAAAGTAGCTTGCCTACCACTCCACCAAGTGTAAATCATGAAGTGGTACTGCCAAATGTACCAACAGTGGCGACAAAAGATGTGTCAACATTCGAAGAATTCAAACAAAAAAGACTTGCTGAAAAATCATCTAAATGGACTTGTCCCATTTGTTCAGTAGACAATGACTTGACTGACGATAACTGTTCAGCTTGTGAAGAGCCAAATCCGAAGAAAGTTAAAAAGCCAGCCTCACCAGTGCTCCCTTCAAAAGCTGTGTCTCCGCCATCGTCTCTGTTTTCATTTGGAACGCCACCAGTTGTTTCAGCTGCTTTTTCAAACAACACTACTCCTTCTAAATTTGCCTTCAGTCCTCCTTTATCATCATCATCATCAACGGCAACAACAACAAATGCGACACCAGAAATTAAAGAGCTTCCAAAGTTGCCTGAAAAAACTGAAACTCCAAAGCGTGAGCAAAGCAACGCCATCAGCGTCCTGGAGACTGCTACTATTGTCAACAAAAGTAGCTTGCCTACCACTCCACCAAGTGTAAATCATGATGTGGTACTGTCCAGTGTACCTCCAGCGACGACAAAAGATGTGTCAACATTTGAAGAATTCAAGCAAAAAAGACTTGCTGAAAAATCCTCCAAATGGACTTGTCCCATTTGTTCTGTCGACAATGATCAAGCCGATGATAACTGTTCGGCCTGTGAAGAGCCAAATCCAAAGAAACAGAAAGAGCTTTCAACAGCTCCTGTTTCTAAGCCGTTTTCAAGTGCACCCTTCGGACTTGATATCAACTTTAGTTCTCCTGTCACTTTGCCGAAAATTGATGTCGGTCCACCAGTGCAGATCAACAATAAGCTGAGCATCAACTTTAGCCAACCCTCCACCACTACTTCTGCTACTGTAAACAACGGTTTTAACTTTAGTCAAACCCTGCCGACTTTTGGAAAGCCTGCTTCTACTCCATCATTTGGGGCGGTCACACAACCAGCAGCGGTGACACAGCCCGCAGCGCTTCCTTCCGTTCAGCCATCACTCTTCACTTTTGGTCAATCTTCAAACAAAGCTACCGGTGCTGCTGCTGCTGCTACTACTGCCGCTTCCGGTAGTTCTGGCTTTAACTTTGGCCAAGCGGCTGTAGCTCCCGTTGGACTGTCGGCGGCTGCTCCCTCATTCGGCAGTCTTTTTGGAACGTCCAGCACTAAACCACCAGCGGCTGCACCACCAGCGGCTGCACCACCTGTGATTCCTGCCTTTGGTTCAACGTCAGCTTTTCCGCCAGTTACTGCGCCACAGGCTAATTCCGGTTACAAGTTTAGCGCAGAGCCAAAAGTTAACTTTTCTGCATTCTCTACGCCAGCACCAGCTCTTGTTGGAAATGCAGGGAACATGTTTGCGTTTAAGTAAGTTGACAAATATTTTTTGTATATCTAAAGTTTCGTATAACTTCATAATATTAACTCTTGCTTATGCGTTCTCTTTTCTTTTACTTTAGTCAAACACTGCCCACATTAGGTCAACCGGCTTCAACGCCTTCGTTTGGAACCACCACACAACCACCAACTCTTCCTTCCGCTCAGCCAACACCATTCAAGTTTGGTCAGTCATCGAACAGTTCTGTTGCCTCTAGCAACACTGGCTTCAACTTTAGTCAAACCCTGCCGTCTTTTGGACAGCCTGCTTCTACTCCATCCTTTGGGGCGGTCACACAGCCAGCAGCGCTTCCTTCAGTTCAACCCTCACTCTTCACCTTTGGTCAGTCTTCGAACAATGCTACCGGTGCTGCTGCTCCTGCCGCCAATTCTGGCTTTAACTTTGGCCAGGCTGCTGTAGCGCCCGTTGGACAGTCTGCAGCTGCTCCACCATTCGGCGGTCTTTTCGGAGCTTCCAGCACTCAACCACCAGCGGTAGCACCACCTGTGATCCCTGCTTTTGGCTCAACGGCAGCTTTTCCACCAGTTGCTGCGCCACAAGCTAATTCTGGTTTCAAGTTTGGCACGGAGCCAAACTTGAACTTTTCAGCATTCTCTGCACCAGCACCAGCTCCTCTCGATGGCAATGCGGGGAACATGTTTGCATTTAAGTAAGTTGACAAATATTTTTGTATATCTAAAGTTTCGTATAACTTCATATAATAAATTTTTGCTCGTGCGTTCTCTCTTCCAAACAGTGCGTCAGATCAGAACACAATGCCACTCAATCGACAAATTAAAAAGGCGAAACGGCGACTAAGATGAATGACAATGAATAGGATTATTTTTTTGTAAATGTGCGAGCTCTCTGCTGTATATGATAGTAATTTTCAACTAAGTACCTTGTCAATATTTTTTCAAATCGGACATGATTTTTATTGTAAGCCCAATTTCCCATACTAATTTCATGTCAACATCTTTTATAATAACAATTTTACCCAATTGTAAACTTTTATTGAATTCATTCACCTAATTCATCAATTCCAAGCTTACTTGTTGCTGTTTTTATTGAAATCGTCCACTCATGAACGATTTTTGTGTCATTTTTGTTGTGAAATATAAAATAAATGCTGTTTCATTCATTTGTTACTATTTAGAAGCACAAAGAGATATAGAGGGCCATTAGACTGCAAATGATCAAACTGTATTCAAACAGTCAATTAATTAAATGCCGTTTTTCTGCATTTGATCAATCGTTCTCCAAGTTACGTCTACTGACAAATGGAGGACGCCTCTGTTTGATCGAATGAATGAATGGTCGACCATTGAATGGGCAACACTGGTCGGTGGAGTGGCAACACTTCCCTGCTACTATCTGTGCCGTTCAATACACACTGATTAAAGACACTGTTTGTCTGATCTGAGTATTCTTGACAGGAGCACAGTGGCCGGGTGATCGCCATCGGACAGAGTCCATTGTCCGCTACTGAACATCACCACCACCATCACTACCACTACCATCATCGTGAACTGGGCTAAGGTTAATTGGCCTGAAGTGCACTGGGGAAAGGTGCTCCGGAGAGTGAGCGGGCGATAAAAGAGGCAAACCTGTTTCATCGCCAGTATCTGCGTCTTTAGTTTTCACCACCAACGCAAGGTGAAGCATCACGAATCTCGATGAATGTCTGCCTGGGATGTATGTGTGCGGTCAGCGCGATGTGTGTAAGATTGGACAGCTCATTAGTGGGGCACTGGTTGATTGTTTGCCTGCGAAGGTGGTCGCAGGGGCAGGGGCAAAAACTTTGGTGCTTTAGAAGCAGCGAAGTTGCTGATTCGGTGGTTTCTTGTTGACCACCTGACCGACGACGACAGCAACTTCGACGACCTCACCACAACCAGCCAAACAGTCGATGAGTGTTGCCCAATGGCGCCCTGCTGTGTTGTGCTGTGTGTTTACTCTAAAACTGTGTTTGCTTTTCTTGTGCACAATTTACAGTGCGATAAAGAGGGAAAAACTGCATCAGCAGTGATTGTGACACGGCGGTCATTGCTTGTTGATAGTAGTTTACGATGAAGAAGAGGTGATCCCGGACATAAATACGAGGTAATCCGAGAAGGAGCGCTAATGTGCGAGCAGTTCACTGTCGGCACAAAATCGATAAGGCACAGAGTGGTTCAGTGAGCCAACAGAGGCTGCAGTAGAGCAGCTGATAAGACGAAGGCAATGAGGATGAGGATGACCAGGCTGGATGGGGCACAAAGGCAGTAAAGGCCACCACTGCCAGCACTAGTGCACATCCTCCAGTAGACTGCTTGGCGACCAGCACACTACAGTTAGAGGGGGCAATTACCTGCACTGAGCTCTAATTAGACTACCATTCAAAGAGGCAATCGGGTAGTTGGCGGTCCTTTCTCTCCGACTTACTCGACCGTACTACTTCTGCAGAGAAGAGTGCACTGCTGAATGGCACTGCCGTGCATCACCGGCACTGATCAATTAATCGATCAATCGATCGCATCACACTGACGAGTGCACTAGAGCAAAGGGCAACTGCAGTAGCACTGTGGTGAATTGGTAGTTGTAATTAACGCTAAGGAGGAACCGGTTACAAGTTCTCTGATTGAAACTAAACTGCCCACTGACATGAGCTAGCTGCTTTCTGGCAGTGAACATACCAGGCAACTTTTCCTTATGGAGACTGATTTTAATTTAGTGCACAGCTTTTCCCCCTCCACCTCGGTATGTTGTTCACTACCACCACCCTCATTCTTCCTCCTGTTGTGTTGCCAAATCTTCCTCTTAGTCAGGCACTGTCAAATATGCGCGCCAATTTGGTGATTTGCCTTTGAAAGAGTGCAATACGCGCGCGCGCATCGTCGTCGACCACTAATGAGAAAAACACCAAATGAACAAGTGCTCGAATCGCTGAAAGGCAATGCCATGACTAATTATCGTGAGTGAAGGCAGAGAATGACAGTCAAGCACATGAGGCCAACACACTGTGAACACGCCGTGCAGCATGGCACTTTCCATATGGTCGTGCCATGAAGCGATACCAATTGACTGAATGACCGACAAACCAGCGACTGCCAATGAATTAGCAGATTAAGTGCTCACATGACAGTCCACTGAAAAGTGTGTCGAGATGAGTCAACCCTTTTGGAGGCGAGTGGTGGCAGGCTAAGAAGCGACTGCAGAGCAAGAAACAGCCTGCCATGCAACTACTGCAAGAGCCGCAGTGCAATGGACTAAATCACCAGCAGGATCATCATCATCATCAGCAGCAGCAGCCAGAGCAATGTGTGCTGGCCGGCATCATTCGGTGATCGACCCACTAACGCGAACTGGACAGCGTCACTGACAAAACTTTGTGTCTGTGTATGTGTGCGGTNGCTCAGCAGCAGCCAGAGCAATGTGTGCTGGCCGGCATCATTCGGTGATCGACCCACTAACGTGAACTGGACAGCGTCACTGACAAAACTTTGTGTCTGTGTATGTGTGCGGTCTTTGGTTTTTTTGCTGGCAGGCCATGCCGCGAGAAAGACCGTCCTTGCAGATCAATAGGTCCACAGTGTTCACAGTGCCCCGCCTGGGGGCTCAAGTGGGGTCGATCACCAAGTCGTAGCAGTAGTGCTGTGGTGCTGTTGGTTCTGCTCCTGCTGCTGCTGATGGCCTGTCCTCTGCCCTTTGGCCGCTCTCTCTCCTGCTGACAGCCTGCCTGCTATATGCTCTTCACGTCCGCTTTGTCGTCAGTTTGCTCACAATTGGCCATTGGCCTAGGGTGTACCACCGCACTGCTAAGCTGACTCAGAGGCAGCCAGAGTGAGGGAGAGAGAGAGAGAGAGAGAGAGCCGTCTGCGAGTCAGTGGACACAGTGTCACCATCAGTCTTGAGGGTATCAACTGCTGCTATTGCTCGCCGACTGCTGTCCTTTGTTCGTGTCTGTGTGCCATCATCCTCATCTCCAAGTTGCTATATATTTCTTTCTCTCTTCATCTTTTAATTCCTGTTTGTCTACGAGCGTACATTTTCTTGTGTCGTCCACAGCATCGTCATCAGCATCGTCGTTGTGCTGGTGCTGGTCGTGGTGGCAGAGCATCGCCATCAGCAGAAGCAGCAGCAGCAGTCGTAAGTGCCGTCTCGAAAGCTGTCCTGCAGGAAAAGCCGACAGCAGCTCTCGGTTTTGTTGATATTGGCGGTGGTGGTGGTGGTGTGGTGGTGGCAGTGAGGCTGGTCGTTGGGGAGCTTGCACTCTTACTCCTTCGGTCGCCGTTGCCCAGGCGGCGAAGATAGAGCATGAAAGACTCCCAGTCTGTCTGTCTGTCTGTCGATTGCCAGAGAGCGAAGGGGAAGGGAACTGTGTGAGTGCTGCTTCCATTGCCTGATGCACGCTAGGAGACCACATCGCAGCTGCACATTAACAGCAAACTGAGCTGATTCCCAATTGCCACTGGCCGACTGGCGCCGTTCTGTTCCCTTCTCTTCCCCCAGTCGATCGGCACTCATACACTGTGCCACTCGCCGTTGCATCCACCAATCGGCAGAAGCACCACCATTTGCCATTGCACTGGCCAGCAGCAGTGGAAGACAGTCTATGCACATATCTAACACGGACAAAGCACTGTGTGTGTAAGTGTGTGCTCCAGCACTAGCTCCTGCACGGCGCCGTTTGTTTAGCGAACGCTGATCCCTGAGCGCCTCCAAATACAGTGCCCCCGCTCCCTCTTCGGCGCAACCCATCCGCCTGACTGAGCAGCAGCAGCAGCAGCAGCAGCGACTACGGCCCCAGCAGTGGTATTGCGGGCACCTGCCATTAAAAGTTTCTGCCATCAGATCTAACAGCAAAGGAAATAGAGAGCACAACACGAGCACTTCACAGCTACTGCTTCTCTTTTATCACCGCCACCATCACCATCATCATCATCACAGTCACCGGTGGCAGGTAGTCGCCACAAGGTATGCAGTAGTACTTGAAGAAGTACCTTTTCACCACTTCACCTCCACCACCACACTACTACCACCTAGTCAGCCGGGAAGGTATCTGCGTACGATCATTGTCACTATCAACATCAGCATCAACCCAACCATCATCATCATCATTAACCATCGGTATCCTCGGTCGCACTCTGCTGCACAGTCGATTCTGGCCGGTGTCTTCAGTTCAGTGTGCTCAGCCCGTTAGCTGACTCATCTGCTTGTTCTGCTTCGTGCGAGCGTCTGCTTGCTAACTCACTTCGCCAGTCAGTCAGTCGTTCAGTTCAGTTCAGTGTTCAACTGCTGCACCGTCGATCAGCACACACGCACAGGCACACACACACAGAGACCTGTACTGCCTCACTGTCCAACTTGTTTGTTGCCGCCAAACAGAAACTTAGCTGAAGAACTGTGAAAGCGACCATCGACACTCTGCACATTCACACACATTCACATAGGCGCACGTTTTGATTCTGTGATAGGAAGGGCGCCCTTCCTCCTTCTCAATCCGACCAAGCCCACCGTCATCATCATCACCATCTGACACAGATTAGCAAAGCACTGTCGATTGGAGGCAATCATCACTCTCTACCGCAAATTGGTGGTCGTCAATGTGATAATGCGATACACAGAATCGACACAGCAATCAGACGCAGTCAGTTACCACCACCACCAGCAGTGCATCATCATGACTAAGTGGTTCACTGAAGACACGCTCTGTCAGTTGAGGCAAACGTAGACTGCCCAAAGCAACAACAACTTTATCGGCGACAAAGCTCGGAACCGTAGTCAGATAGTTTCAGTTAGTCAGATTTTAAATCTGTGAATCCCCTGAATTTTGTTTGTGCTGTATACCCATTTGTACGAGCACCAGACCAGAACAACTGTAGCAAGATGGAGGCCGCCAGTGAAATCTTCAACGAAGGGGTGACAATGACCGAGGACTTTCTCGAGCAGATGACCATCCTCATAACGGACTACCTGGCGCTGAACGAGCCAGCGATGACCGTCCTCTCGCACGACCGACTGTACAACATGTCCATCATCGCCGAGTGGTTCCACCAGATTCCCCACGTGGACACTCGATTGCGTCTCCTTCCTGCCAATGTCACCTTTGACCCGACGGACAATGAGTACCTGGAGTCGCTGGGCGTCCTCGTCGCTCTGCCAGGCTTCTGGCTCATCCTCACACTGCTCTTCTTTCTCATCTTCTTCCTCTGCCGCTGCTGTGATGGCTCCGGTCGGAGCAGTGCCGACCAGCAGAAGACCACCTTCCACCAGCAGCAGGTGCTCTCGGGAAAGACGCCCAAGCCGAAGCGAATGACCGGCTGCAAGCTCTGTCTGGCACTGATCGCCACCATCACCGGCTTCGCCATCACCGTCAGTTTGCTGGGCACCATCATCACCCACCGGGGCATGACCAAATTACGAAACTCCACCACTGACATTGCAGACATCGTCGAGGCGGTGCAGAATGACACTCGTCTGGCGGCCAGTTCACTGCGCGATCATGTGGACACCAACGTCGAATCGCTAAAAGGTGCCATTGAGATCATGCTAGTCAAAGACGTCGCCATCAAGTCCAGCCTGGAGACGCAGCTCTTCTTTCTCAAACGGAACGTCACTAAATGTAAGAGCTGATTGACTGTTTGAATTGTGCATAAAATGCTTACTTTTTGCTAACCTTGCTAACCACTTTTTCCCTTGTCCTCCTTCACTAGGCATGAGACGCGTCGATGAGATCGCCTCTCGAGTGGAAAGCTTCAACTTCCGCCCACTGCCCAACATCGTTCAGACTATTGAGCGGTATCGTTGGCCTGCCACACTGAGCATTGCTCTTCTTCAGATCATCTTCTGTCTAATTCTCCTTTGTGGGCTGGTTCGTCACTCTCGCTGCACGCTGATCATGTTCTCCGTCTTTGGACTGCTGGCACTGGTGCAGGCCTGGGGAGCCTCCGCCTCACTGCTGGGCATCCTGGTCGCCGGCTCGGACTTTTGCGATGAACCGGATCCCATTTTGACTGAGCTATCGGGCAACAAGGTCGACTACGTTCTCTACGACTACTACGTGCGCTGTCCAATGAGCTCCTCTCCGAGTGGCAGCTCACCGGCGCCCAATCCCTTCCGCCGGCAGACGCGCGAATCGCTGAACGCCCTTGAGCACATGTCCGAGCTCATTCGCCAGGTGGAGATGCTCTGTCTGAGCTACTCCGTATGCAGCTCTGAGCCGCCGGTCCGCCAGCAGATCAGCTCCATCGTGGAGCACCTCAACTCCACTGAGCACTTGATGAAGTCGGTGCAGTCGCTGTTGGACTGCCGACGGGTGCACGACGACTGCTCTATGGCGATGACCTCCTCCTGTAAGGACCTCATTGACGGCCTTTTCCTCATGCTGGTCACCTCGATGGCCATTGGACTGCTCTTCACACTGCTGGTCCTCTGCGCCTCGCACACCTGGATTCACATTCGCAGCGGCAGCAGCAGCAGTGCCAGCAGCATCAGCGCCAACTCCGTCAGCGCCCACGGCTCCAGCGCCCTCCTCGGCGGACTGGACAACACCGAGGAGACTGATCCCTTCCTCAGCTCCACTCCCCACCACCTGCACACTGCTCACCACCACACGATGCTCTCCAACAACTCCACTAGCTCGTCGCTGACCAACACCTCACTGGGTAACAAGAGGTTCCGCGACTCGTACGGCAGTGCATACGGCACCACGGGCAGAGGCCGGTAAGTGAAGGCTCTGGATGATTTACACATGATCACACTAAAATGACTCAATTGCTTTAGATTCAGCCACACCCCACCACAAACGCCTCACTTCTCGACGACGCTCGGAGCCGCCAGCTCTAGCGCAGTCAACAACACTGCCGGTGGACGACGATCGGAAGAGCAGCTGGCATTCCTCAGTCCGCCGCCCGCCTACGATCAGTTGACACAGCAGCAACAACAGCAGCTGCACTACCAACACCAACAACAGCAACAACAGCAGCAGCAGCATCACCAGCAGCAACTGCAGCACCAGCACCAACAGCAGCAATATCAGCAGCACCAGCACATCTACGGGAGCCATCACACCGGAACTTTGCCCCATTCGCACCACCACATGCAGCAGCAGCAGCAACAGCAGCCGCAGATGACCCACCATCCAAGTGCAATTGGCCATTACGTCGTAAGTGCCACCGCTGTCCCCTACCTCTTCTATGATGCCCGAGAAAGCAGGCTGCCTCTCCATGCAGACCTAGTTGGATCGCTTCGTAGTGACCACTTGTAGACCACTTTTCTTTTTCTCTATTTTTCTACTACTGCTAACTGCTACTAGTCGCACTACTGCCACTTCCTGCCTGCCTGCCCAACTCTTCCCACCTTCCCTTTAGTCTCTTTCTTTTTCTCTTTCTCTTTCTTTCTGCCTCCTTTTCGACTGAACAGCAGTCCTAACTTTTCTCTTCTCTTCTTTTCTTCTTTTCTCTGCGNCAACTCTTCCCACCTTCCCTTTAGTCTTTTTCTTTTTCTCTTTCTCTTTCTTTCTGCCTCCTTTTCGACTGAACAGCAGTCCTAACTTTTCTCTTCTCTTCTTTTCTTCTTTTCTCTGCGTTTGTCACTGTTTCACTGTCTGTCTCTGTACTACCTCCTACACTTCACATGTCCGCCTCACCTAGGCCGATCCAAGCGATATCATGATGAGAGCACCAACTCAGGCAACTAAATTCTAGTGGCGCTCTGCAATCTAATTCTCTTCTTCTTCTCTTCTCTTCTCTTCTCTCCTGACAGTATTCCTCTTTTGGCCACTCCACATTCATTCCCTAACTGTGCTCGGTGCCCCTCACAAGTGTGAAAGAGCGTCCCTTCCTTGGCCATGAGCTCATGCCTCGGTGCTGTGCTTGCTCTAGTGTCCACCACTCTTCTTGTTCTCACAGACCCAGGTTACCATTGTCCTTCTTGCCGATAAGAAGTGCTGGCTATTCACATTCGGCCAGCTAGTCACTCTCAGATTTGTCTAGGTCTATCTGATGCTTTTTGCTCACTAGTGCTCACTAGCCACACACTGAAAACCTTGCTACATACACCCACACAATTGACAACTCTAACCCATAACTAAAAACCACAGCTTTATTTTTCTACCTGCCCCCTTCTCTGTCTCTCACCCTTTTGAGACCATTTTACCCCATTGCAACCTAAAACCACTTCGCCAACTCCCAAATGACTAACACAGACACCCTCTCCTTTTATTTCCCCCTCTTTTGGCCACTCACACTCATTGCCTACCTCAGAGGAATACGCCCATCAGACTAGCAATTTTGCTCTCTCTTCCTCTCATCAGTGCTAACTATTGCCGCCGAATCGATCACTCTTTGCTATCTCTCGCTCGCTTTTTTACTCCTTTTGATCTACAGCTCTTTCTCCTTGTCTTTTTTTTCCAAATGACGTCATTTGCTAACTACCTTCTTTTTCTAATTCACCACCACCACCATCATCATCATCACTGTCATCATCTGTAGTCCAATTACTACTGAAGCACACTTTTACGTTAACTGCAGCAGCAGCCCTGCACAGCCGATCAACCCCCGCATCGATGTGCCATGTACAGAATGATCATCACTGAAAGACTGTTAAATCGCAACGGGAAAGAATGCTCAGCTAGGCTTCTCCCCAGCGTACCTGTCCCCCACCCCTTATCTTTGCTCATCTCTCACCCACCACCTCACAGTGTAATATACTCTGGCAGCAATCACATCAAGTGCTCTCTTTAACTCCTTGATGAGCCTTCCTCTCCTCTCTCAGCCAATGCCACTCGTCGTCTCTTTTTTCCCCTTCTCAATTTCCCCATTGAGTGTTTTCTATTTTTGCAAACATCTTTTATTTCTTTTTTTTGCTATAAACTTCCTCTCTCTTTTTCCACCACTGGTGCAGAACTTGTCTCGGAAACAATTAAGTCTCATTTTACCACAAGCATTTCCACTAGAAACTTGTACAGGTCAGTTCACTCTTCCTTTCTGTGTTTTATCACCCTCATTTTGTTGGTCTGTACAATCAATCATTTTTGCATTTTAAGTTTTACCTTATCAGCCTCATTGTCTCTTCACTTGTACCTCTTCTTTTCATTAGCCCTCGGAAACACACACACACACTCACACACAGAGAATTCACAAACTCCAGTCTTTGTAAAAATAATCTACATATACTTTTTTATACAAAAACCCATCCTACCTTCCTAGTTGACTGCACAAATTTGATAAACCTTTTTTGTCTTTGTAAGTCCATTATTTCCGTTTTACAAAGTAAATCAGATTCTAATTGGCTAATACCGGCGTAACTTTACTTTTCTAAACAAAAAAAAAACTACGTAACTGAGTGGAAAGTTAGTAAATAGTACAAGTCACTTTATTTACAAATGCAAATTAAGTATATTTTCTTGAAATTGACATTTTAAAATCAGTCAGTACATATAAAAAAATGATATAAATCACAATTTGTTCAAAGCCTAGGTGTGTGTGTATCGGTTAAAAAAATTGGTGTACAAAGGTTGCCCAGTCATCACATTCATTTATACATTTCTCAATAAATACAATTTGAATACATCTACAGTTGCTTTTTATTTATATCATATGTGTGCAAAAGATTGTGCAATTTAGTGAGTGTGAACAGGTTCAGTAAATGAATAGTGGTGATAGATCAATGAGGACACTCTGTCAGGACTTACTTGGCCAAGCCAATTTTCCTTGCTTCAATCTCGTAAATTAGCAGACGCCAGAGTTTGACGACAAACACTTGTGCCTCCTCGTCAAGTACCATGGCGACGTTATCGAGTAAGCACTGAGCGGAACATTTCGTCTGTAACTTTTGGCAGATAAACTCTAGCAGCGTCTTCTCCTCTTCACCTATATAATCGGAGATTTTTTTGTTGATCCACGGTTTGATTCGCTTCTCCATTAAGCTCTGAAAAAATACAAAACAGCAGTGTGAGTGAGAATGATTGCGTGCCAAAGAGCAGTGATCGAACACTTACATTATCCAGTCGATCCCACTCAATACTGTAGTTGAACAGCTCCTCTTTTAATGTTGGAATTTTGTCGATGATAATTTTAACCTGCCTTCGCTTCTCCTCCTGGCTAAGCTGTGAGCTGGAGAGGCCTACTGCTGGCTTGTTGCTACTTCCACTTAGGTTACTGTCAGTGTTGCTGTCCTCCAGCAGGGCGTTCGGGGGTGGTCGACGCTTTTTACCATTCTGCACATTGGCCTCGTCGTCTTCGATGGTGTTGAAGACATCGGACACCATTAGACGCTTTCGTTTAGCATCACTGCTACTGATCATAGGCGCAGAGTGGTTCGAGTTGTCGTTGGTTACTTCCAACGGAAACGTACTAGTTCCACTGCCATTAGGATGCTGTGGTGGTGCGACGTCACCGGCAGCAATTTTCATTCCCTGGAAGCCAAAAGTCTTTACCGCCATGTTAGACGACGAGTCATGGCTGTCTTCATCGTTGTCAAAGAGGGTATTGTTTCGCGCTTCACTCATCAGCATTTTAATTTGGTCGTTGAGACTATTTGGCGATTCGGCGACGTTCAGTCTCTTCCGCACTTCAGAGTCCGGATCAGGATGACCCTCTTCGGCTAACTTTTGCTTCAAGGCTTCCAACTCCTTTCGCTCCTGCTCGTGCTCGCAATCGTCTTGTACGATCTCCTTTCGTCTTTCAGCCATACGCTTATGCATGTTTCTTCCCTTGTAGTACTTTTGGTCATGCCTGTAGGTAGAGCAATTCGGAAAATAGTTACAAAGATAAGGGTTTGGTTTAGTTCGGGCACTTACTTATCGTCATCATAGTCCTGTAAAAACTGCTTCAACTTTTGCTTTTCAATTTCTTCCTCTTCTTTGATTCGAGCTTCGTTAATACTTTCGCGCTCATAATCTTTTGCCTTTCGCTTCTCACGAGACTCCCAATCTCGTAGCCTTCTTTGGTAAGCTACCTCCTTCTCTCGTGTGATCTTATCCTTTCGACGCCTCATAGCAACATCCTCTTCATCAGTAGGCGACTTTGAGCGATTAAATATTTCAGGTGATGAAGAACGTCTAGTGTCGCGATCCCGATCTCTCTCCTTGTCGCCTCTCCTATCGCGATCGCGATCTCTATCTCGGTCTCTGTCTCCAGAACGTTTCGACTTTCTGTCATCGTCCCTTCTTCTTGGTCTGTCATCATCACGTTTCTTCTTTTCTTCTTCTTTTTCTTCGTCATATTTCTATGTAAAACAAACAAATGTAAAACACGATAAAAAACTAAAAAACATGATGCTAAATACCTTATAAGTATCCCTGAACCTATCAATTTCTCTGTGGATTAAGTTGCGTTTTTCGTCTTCAATTTCAAGTTCATTTAAATTCTGTAAAAGAAACATCAGTTTGTAACACCAATTTTAAGGTTAGTTCATTACAAAAATTACCTCGTTTGGAACTTTGTTATTGGGCGGAATAGGCCCTCGCTTGTTTCCTTTGTTTGCCGAGGATTCAGGTTGGTCTTTTGTTAGTTCAATTTC